TTGCATAAAAAGTTCATTTACGTCTTCTAGTCAGTGATAATCACGTAATTTAGTAAGTATAAGTAGGTACCTATACAATAAGTAATAATATTTTCCGGCCCGTGTGTCGCAGCTCAGTAAATCTGGACTGTGGTGCTAAGGGCCCCTGGTTCGAATCCGGGTTCGGGCATGGATATTTGTAAATGTATAGCTATAGTGGGTTGGGTTGGTAGAGCAGCCTTGGCTGAACGCCCATTAAAAAATAAAGGCAAAATAAAATAAATACCCCCTGTGGGTTCGGGGATAGAATTGGCCCACTCCCGTCCTGGAGATCGTAAAAGGCGATCAATGGGCACTAAAGGTGGCGAGTCCAAGCGCCTTTAGTACCCACTTACCTACCCAATTTTATCTTCAACTCCGACACCAATCATCCTAGGCACCTTTTGTTCACACGACCCTCATAGAACGGAAAAAAGGCCTTGGCCCGCTGGTAGTAGCGGTAAAATGCGAATGAATCCCTCAACTTAGGGCGACGCCGGCGACAAGGAGAATACTGTGCCGCGATTCTTGGTCGTGAAATGCAAGGAACGTGATTTTACCAAGTTCCTTTCTGATTAATAAAATGTTGTACAGTGTGTTAAGAATTTTAAGGAATATAAAAAAGGTAGTTACACAAAAAAAATCCAGGACCATTGTTTAATCCTAGTATTAAGACATTTGATTGACTTTATACTGCAGTATGCAGCCAATCAAATGTCAAAAATTTTGTTTATGCTCAGATTTGACAAATAATGTAGGATTTTGATTATAATTCGCATTCCTGCAACTGGCCGTAATAGAAACTGTGTCGATTAACTCGAAACTGTTGCATCGATGAAAATATAAAAGAAAACCTTAAAGATCAGGGAGTAGTGGATGCGGGAAGAATAAAAACACGGCGCGATGAAGAGTTTTTTAGATACTTCAAATCATGTTCTTACTTTCAATGTCTCGTGATTACCTAATGACTTTCATGACAAATTCGTGCTCAAGGCCTTACCGGGTTTCTTGTAGAGCTGAATTCAAAAACTCTCCACGACCCCCTTTCATCTAGTCAACGTAGGAGGTGCCACCATTAATAAATGGGTTTCGGATTGTGATATAGGTAAAAAAGATAAGTAATTAAATTAAAACATATAGCATAACCTAAAAAGAAACATATTAACCAAATAAGGAATCCTATAAAAATACCTTTACCTGGAAAACATACAACACCAGCATTTAAGTAAATACGCTTAGATAAATAACGTAGACAATTTTAGCTTGGCGCTTCTGGAATTTTCCACTTCGGATATCAACATCTTTTGCAAAACAAGAATCTGTCATTTCAACGACAAAAACAAAAGCAAAAGTGATATCCCCAGTTGTACCAAACACACTCCTAACATACTGCATCTCTCGTAACATTTAAATTATGTGCGTGCCGAATTATGTATGTTCACCTCGGATTGCAATACGTTTTTATATAGCGGTATTAGTTTCAAAGTACCGTTAAAAGATGCACACTTTATTGAAATAACAAGTTAAAAAAATTATATTAATGTGATAAAAGATTTGCACCAGTTGTGTTCGCATAAGATGGCGGCAATTTCCGGTCCCGTGAGTAAGTTTAATTATATAAGGGCAATTTGTACTCAAAATAGGAAGACTGTATGTTGACAACCATAATCGGTGTATAGTGTACAGTTAATTAGCTCTCAATGAATATTAAAATCAATAGCTAGCTCTTTAATCTTGACGAATTTATTCGATCATCCACCGCGTATCTCCCACCTAGTAGTTTAGTGGTACTTAAACATGCCGGTCTTGGCGGGTAATCCTTATTACTGAGGAAAGTGGCGACGTTATTTATTAATTTGTCTTCATCTGATCGTTTACGTCTGATCATTTTTGAGCATCATACGGTTTTCGACTTCGCCTTCATCATCGCCTTTGAGGTCAGTTTAACTTTTACAAACTGAAATGTGCCTTCTACGGTTCCTTGGATTTCCTTCAGTACACATTCTCTTAGTCTAATTAACAGTGCCAGCATATAAACCTAAATAAACCTAATGAGTAATTAATAATAACTATCCATTGGGGCTATTTACCCAGTATGTGTTTTACAAATAACCCTAAAGAAAATCCTTTATTAGACATATGTATGTAAGTTACATGGCATATCTACTTACATTACATAGCTATGCCCAAGTTTAAAAACAAAATTAGGACTATTTTATTGTCGAAAGCTTTTTATACGTTTGATGAGTTTGTGAATAACTCTAAATGTCTTTAGTTTCTTTTTATTCTATGAAAGTAAACCTAAATGTTTTTGTGTTAGTTTAGAATTATGTACGACAAGTGTAAGTGTAAACACACAGTAGCACAATATATCATATTATTATTATAGCTACTTTTTAATTTGTCCCTTTATTTTAGCGATACTATACATATTATTCAAATGCATTATGTACGGGAACACGTTTATACAATTTTAAAACTTTCTTTTAACTTATCTCTTACCTATAGCTACTGCCAATAAAATTGTGCCCTCCTTCGGTATTGCAATTACGCGTGTAGTAAAGATCGGCTCCTTTAAAATCCTTGTTAGCGTGAGGTAGGTATGGTATAACTAACGACAGATCAAAACCTCGATGCCGAACCCAATAAAGTTGGATGAAGGAAGAGTAGGATTGTTCGCCGGCTTTGCCCACCTCTTGCATAAAGTCATGAGTTCATCTCGTTTGATTGAAATCCTCTCTTATTCTTGTTTTCTATTTGAAAAACCTCACCCCTTGAAGCTTCATTGTTTTAGCGGCCTCATGCATACTTCATGTTCTCTTAGACTGTGACGCATTTCCTATAGGTTTTAAACTTTAGATAAATTTACTTAAATTCCTTGTGAAAAAAGGAGAATTACGGTGACAAGTGAATGGGACATTTTCGTTTTAGGAAGCAAACGATTAACATCGTGCATTATTCTGTACGCCCGACTTGGCAATACGTACCTATATAGGGTATAAATCTTTCAAATAACAGTCTCTATATTATAGTAATTAATCGGGTACCTACAAGAAGCAAAGACGTAATCAAACAAATCCTAAAAGTTATTGAAAATTGAAAATTTACTTTACAACGTTTAGTGAGAAAAGGGGGTTAACATAACTTTGTTTTGTTTTTAATTGCTTAAATTGTCTTACAGGATTTGGTTTCACAACGAAAGTCGCGAACAATTTTAAAATTTTGGCCCTTTATTAGTACAGGGATTTCCATTACATTTGAAACACAAATATGATCACCATAGAGAATTATAATTTGACAAAAATTCTAATAAAATGCATTAGCAAGAACTTCGCAATTTATAGAACTAAAAAATAGCCTGTTAAAGGACACTACACTTTCTACAAGAAATGTTCAATGTTATCATGAGGGAAGAAATAGATAAGTGACTTACCTTCTGGGTTCAGCAAATATGATATCAATTCTTTTA